ACCTGAAGCAGGGTTGGATGAAGAAACATCTCAAGAAGGAGCATCCAGATGCTCTATGCTTGGCAGTGAGCGCAGGTTACTGTCCCCCATGTAACCGATCCAACTTCGAGAGCAAGGCGCAGTTCATCGAACATTTCATGACTGCCCACGTGCGCGCACTCGTATCGTTCTCGAGGTCACCCGCTATCAGTTCTCGCCTTCTGTCAGCAGCTCCGAGTCCTTCGATGCGCGAAGCAACCAACCCTCATCCGTCATACCCAGGACAGATTCCCGACAACCAGGGTATCGGCCTACCGGACTCGACGATAGTCACGCAGCAAAGGCCTGCCGATATCGCCAATAAGGGGCGAGCCTGGAACGATGGCACATCTAGGTCGTGGATGGGGCATCCTTCAACTTCGACAATCCCGTACTCGAACGCCCCGATGGCCTTCTCGTATGTACCTCCGGCCGATCTACCCGAATACACATGTCCGACAACACAACGGCCCTTGCCCCCAGCGCCGGCGGGTCGCAACACCGGGAACGAGTTCCAGGGGTACGCCCGTTATCCCGACCAAGGCGGTCATATCAGTCCTCAAGGACCAAGTTGGCAAGGATGGCAGGGATGGCAGTAGCGCCTTGCTATCTCCCCGGGGAGCATTGAGTCCATACAGCAAGAGATCCTACTCAGCAACTCAGCACCATGGAGATGCAACACAGTTCTTTGTCGCTCAAGTCACATCAAGCCGTATAAATGCAGTCCTGTGGGGTCGTGCTGTACGTTGGTGGAATAATGATGTCGCCTCTCTTGCTTTACATTTTCTCTTCTTGTATTCTTCGACTCTTTCTAATAGGCTTTGCTCTCAGGTCCTCGGCGCGTGTTTTCTTTGGTCCGTACAAGTCCATAGTGACACTAAAAATACTAGAAAATGGAGCGATAAAACCCACTCGTCGTGTCTTGCTCCTTCACAGTGACTGACCTCACCACCTCTCCATTGCCCCGCATCTCCGTTACCCTACCTACTCCTACTGCGCCTTCTTCGCCTTCGCCTGCCCACCTCTAAACCCCATACCGTAAACATACACCAGACTGCCGCCTAGGTACGCCGCGAACATAGTCGCCGGCAGCGCAATGACACTGCTGACCAGGATATTGGTATCGCTCGGCACCATGCCGGGGTTGCTCCTCCTTGTCCACCAGTTGAACGCCGCACCCAACACCGTCACGTCGTTGATAACGGCATGTAGCGCGCCGACCTGTGCCTTCTTCGACTTCAAGCCGTCGCGCTTGACTAGTGGTATGAACTCGTACATTCCGGTCGCGACCGCCGGTGCGGAGAAGAGGAGTGTGAGGAGCGTGGTGTAGTAGGAGAGGAGGGGGAAGATGGACGGGTTTATAGCGATGTCGAAGGTTTTGACTGCGGATTGGTGTGTTAGATATGTGATCAGATGGAAGGACCTTGGGAGGGTTGGGGGAGGACTTACAGGTTGAGGCTACGGCGCCGGCAGTTGGCGCATACTTGGAGAGGAAGTAGACGGCATCCAGAGCACCTGTGAGGAAGGTGGTCGTGATGGGGAAGTGCACTGTCGCAGGGTGTGTTGGGTGGCTCATCTTGATTCTGGATGTTGATTGCAATTGCGAATGATTTTACTGGGCGATGGGCGGATGGATGAAGGTATATTTCACGTCGCAGGAAGATGGACTGTGTGCGCCGCAACTGCAGCGGAGAGCCGGACGCCTCGTGCCCCGTGCAAACGCGCAAACATCTTCGGCTTACGCTGTGTCGTCATGGACTCCGGACTCAGAGAGGCGTGCCGCGAGGGGGTGGAACACACACGCGACTGGCTCGCGTGGGGCGGGCGGATCTCGGGAGGCCCGTCAGCGCTATCCCGATGCTGTGATTGGTTGACCACGACGATTTGGGTACTCCGACTCGGACTCCCGAACACCTCGAATTCATTCTCTACACTGAACTTCCCTATGTAGGAAGTCCTTCATGAACCCGAGAGATCTCAATTAACGCTGTTCGGTCCTTCGTGTTCATTGAGAACCTCCCGGACGCGTCGGGAATGGAGCAGACGCCGGGACGCGCCAGTTCACCGCCTTCCTCAAGTTCATGTTATCCGTTGGCCTTTACTATCTCGTTTCTTCACATTTACACCCAATCCACTTCGCATTGAAGGGTCCAGTCGAAATCATCCGCTGCGGGCCCTAGTGATACAAGTCAAGCTAGTGAGCGTTCTCGGTAGCCATATTACTTTTACGACGTGATGTTGATACCAGAACAGTGCACTAAGTATGACATAGCCTAGGAACGAGTCTTTCGAACACATTTTCTTCACGACACCATGACAAGGTATTGTCCAGAACCCTAATGGCGCATACCATGATGGAGCAATAGAGTGGAAGATGATCCAGGCAGCAGATGACGATTTGATCCACCACGCCATGATGGACGCATGTCTTTGTGACACCCAGATGACGATGTCTGATCTTGAACTCAAAGTTACTCCGCTGACGATAAACGTTACTACCCTGCTCTCGGAATGAAAATGACGTGCTGGTCACAGCCGTGAGGCGCTGAAACGCCGAACACCCGTTCCACAGCCAGCAAACCTTGTGCGCAACCTTATGCGGGTGATTCGGAAGTGACGATAGCTAGAGTTTCCTCCAAGCCGTTGAGTGCTGTGTGAATTATGGAAATTTGATGTGTAAGGTCATTGTTGTTGGGATAGAGAAGAAGTGTCGCTGAGGTAGATTCATGCGAGATCGCCCGGCTGTCCGCGCTGCTGCAGGGACAGACGATGGTGCAAACCCTTAGTCAGAGAACGAAGGAGCCATGGCGGTACTTCCCATTATCTGATGTCGTATAAGCCGAGGTATACAAATACCTTTCCCAATTCCATGAATGACGCTCGTCGCCAAATGGTGGAGGACCCTCCGATGACATTTGTAATCCTGGACCAACTAGGCTTCGAGTTCGAGTAGCATGACTTTCTACGTATCTGGGTGCTGGGAATACTTGCTACATAGCTCTGGCCTCTCGGAAACATGTCCTGGTCAACCTCTAGCTTGACGCCGTCCAGGTGACTCGAGAACTCGCCGTCGCGTCCGGCTTGAGCGTGGTAGACGCCAATCGCCACGCACGTGTCCGCGGGTTAATGGACAGGTTCAGTCGGAACTTCCGCCTTCACCGTATGTATATCCATGCGATACTGCATTTGTAGGTATGTGAAGCGGAAGTTACCTACCTAGGTAGGTACCAACGGCAAGTCGACGCGACGGCAAACAGCGGAGAAAAACCAGTGCGGGGTCGATCACCACGAAGCCTGCCGCGATCCCCCATACATACATCCCATCTCCACAACACCACGCGCAGCCGGCCGTTCCCGCTTACCACAGCGCGACACACACGTGCGTGAAAGCGAATGCGAAGCTGCCGAAGTTTGTATTGTGGTTTTCGATACACTAACACGGCGGCGTAGCGGCAAAACAAAGTGCGAACATGGCGATCGGTCAGGCGCTACTTGCCCTGAACGTTCAGGGCGCAGGTCCGAGCCTGTCACAGCGATCATTTTGCGCCACCAGACTCCACAAGCAACTTTTAGGAGGATGATGAGTTCGGGGTTGGAGCTTGTAAGACCGAGTCATGCGTCGTACCTGACAGCCGGTAGCTCGCGATCTACACGGCGCGGTGCTCGAAAGACTCAGGATGGCTGGTTCTGGGAGTTGTGCTAGGTGCCTTGGAATGGCGGAAGCGCTCAGGGAGTGAAGTGGAGTCATTGGCAGGGTCGTGTATGTATAAAATGCGTCGTCGCCTTGATGAGATACTTGTTGTTGAGGATCAAGACATCTGATCATCATGAAGCTCTCTACCTTTGCCATTGCCGCTCTCGCCGCACCCTTCGTTCAGGCTGCCCCAACTGACATTCGCGAACTCGCAAACAGGCAAACAAAACCCAAAGAACTCAGTATGATAAACCAGCCGTATGCGCCATGATCGCTTGCTTACCCCCAGCAGTTCAGCCTGAGTTCTACCCAGTCCTACAACGCTACACCAGATACGCCGTCGCCTCCCTCGCCACCTTCGTCTACGGCTTCGGAACCTGCAAAAGCCCTCCCTTTGGCTCAAAACTCGTCCGGAAAGTCGTGTCCGACATTGTAAACGACACCCAAGTCGCCGTCTTCCAAGATGACGCCGCCAAAGAATTCATCGTCTCCTTCGCTGGGTCATCTTCACTACAGGATTTCGGGACAGACTTCAACTTCTTCTTCATGCCCTTCGATTCAGCACCGGGCTGCACGGGTTGCCAAGTCCACGGCGGTGTTTTGAAAGGCTGGCGATCCGTCCAGGCTGGTGTTATCCAGGCCCTTGCGGAACTACGTGCTGAGCAGCCGTCCTACTCCACCATCATCACGGGCCACAGCCTAGGAGGTGGTCTCGCAAGTATTGCGTACACGGACCTCAAAGCCAACGGCGTACCAATCAAAATCGCATACACCATGGGCTCTCTGCGCGTCGGCAACCAACAGTACGCCGACTACACTGACAAGCTGTCTGGCGCGAGCGATACCAACCTCGGCACTCTCATCCGCATTACGCATCGCATCGACGGCGTACCCGGGCTACCGCTCACGCCCATGGGTTTCGTACATACGCGCACTGAGATCTACGAGCAAGACACTGCACCCATTCTAGGAACCCAGAGTGCTGGAACAACGTACCGCTGCTTTGGCCAGGAAGCACCGGATTGCAATAAGGGATCTGCTACTGGGTTTATCAACCAGGACCATTTGGTGTATACTGAGATTAATATGACTGACGGCGCGCAATGCAATAACTGATGGTTTGATGGTCGGGAGGAGAGGAGATGACGATATTCATGATGATGTATGCTTGAAATGTAACCTTAATTTTTGTTTCTACCAATACAATACACTATTGTACTAGGACCGAGAGTTCTCATTCATTTTGGTTCGTTCTAACTCGCTCATAAGTACGCTCGAATGCCCAGAATCATAGGTTCCTCAGTCTGGCCCGAGTAATAATCGACTGGTCCAGCGTCGCCATGATTGCTCGACCATCTGCATCAGCCTGGAGCGCCTCACACGCCATACTCAACGGAAAACCAGCTGACGAGATACCATACAGCATAAAGTCTTCCTGCAGCAGATACTCCATGCTCTTGTAAATGCAAGTACTGAGATCCAGGCACTCCTCCCGCAACGCTTCGGGGCTGTATGCCACATCATCATGCACTACATGCTTTAGATTTGGAAACCGTTTCATGAGGCCCTGGATCTCCTTGAGGCAGAGGAGCTGGAAAGCCCAGAAGTAGACGAATACGTTGGCGATACCGAGGCTTGGGTACCATAGCGACTCGTAGGTGCCGCCGAGATCGCGCTCTACGCTCTGTCGACAGGAGATTGGTTCTAGGGTGTTCGCTAGAAAGCCACTGTGCCAGTTCCTGAGTTGTGCTATACTGCCCATGAGCTCTATGATGAGTTGATTGGCTGACCCAGCTGTGCCGACGGCAGCGGCGTCGGGGGAAGTAGGCAGTACGACGTCGATCTTCTCCAGGAGACCTGGAATGTGTGCTGCGACACCTAGAAGACTCTGTAGTGGAGCACCTTTGTGGTGTTGGAAGGGCAGTGTAAGCCAGGAACCATCTGCGAAGAACGTCGATTTGCGAAGTATGAAGGCTTTGAGTACCTAGCACATACAGATATTAGATTAGAGATGATGTTTACGTGACGTTGTACTTACTAGAAGCGGTCTGAAGCCCATGAGCATAGTATGCTCTATGCCCGATGCAAAGAGCTCTGGCGGCATGAGTTGAAACATCTTGCTGACGCCTTCAACATGTATCAGCCAACTAGACTCTTGGGTTGGCGACAGCACCTGTCATATGTCATTAGCCTTTGCTTGAACTGAATGACTCAAAAGACAGCCAGAAAGATCGTTTGACAGTCATCCAAGAGATAGGCGAGATTACCTCTGTCAGTGCCAAACACATAACTGCGGCTACAAGTTCGCTCCTGTAAGTGTCTCCCACAGCTGCAAGACTTTCTCCCAAGAGACGGAGACTATCCTCGTATTGTGCGACTACTGCATTGAGACAGTCTTTACGCTCTCGATATGCGGTGATAGCAAGTGCCAAAGCGCTCACGGCCGAGTATAAACACTGAGAATACGGTCCAGTCATATCGGCAGTCAGTTCGGGGAGGGCCTTGGCCCAAGAGCCACAAAACCATGAGCATTGTTCAGATGCATGTGTCGCATTACATGGTAGCTCTTGGACGGGGATGAAATTGCGCAAGATCAACGATACTTTCTCTCGGATGATGGAAGCATCTGGAGGAAATGGACCATGCGAAGGTGGTAAGTCGCTGGACGTGAAGGTGGCCTGCTGGGGAAGTCTAGTCGACTCGTCTTTAGCCTGAGTACAACCCGATTCGGCATCGGAAGGACATTGCGCATCCACTGGGAGAGGAAGCTTTGTCCGCGGAGCCGATTTCGGACGCGCCCTTGGCTTTACTGCCGTTTTGGTCGCGTCGAAGGGTACAAATAAGGCGTCCGGGTACCCTTCGCATGTTCGCTTACTGAAAACACATTGAGTGCATGCTGGACGCTTGCCATCGCACTGTATAATAGCAGATAAGATCAGCACATACATCCCGAAATCAAGGAAACATGCATACATACCTGAAGTTTTCGTTTGCGGCAAGTATCACAGAGGTTCTTTTTCCTGACCTTCATGGCAGAGGTACGCGTCCGTGAGGGAACGCGATATGTTACCGCAACCGGAAGGTATCGATTGGCTTCGGGGTTTTGCTGCCGAATTGAATAGCCTAGGGTGGGGCACTACCATGAAATCTGGTATAGGATGGAAATAGCTAGGGATGCGTTGACGCAGCGCGGAGGGTGGCAGCTGAGACAGCGCCCAGCAATGATGTAGGTGTTGTGTTCATCCAATGAGAGAAGGACATGTGGGTCGGAGTTCGCTCCTTCGTTGGGCTTAGCGCTTGCGGCGACGACGCTACTACCCCAGGTATCGTCCGTTGCGTTTCTACACTCTACCAGAACTCATCAGATCATGCGAAAATTCTGTCTTGCTGATTAACGTTGCTGATCAGGTAATCATCGCACCGTTCGCCGATGTGCGAATTGCCCTAGGCTGGATGTCACGATGGCTTTCATTCATGGCGCGGCTTGGTATAAAGCCAACTACTGCGTGCCATTGCATGTAAGATTGACACCCAGGCAGTAATCATTTATCACTCTGCTATTCGACAAACGTTACATATCTCTATCACAATCATGTCAGCCTCCACCTTCAAGAACAAAGTCACCATCACCCACATCGGCACCGCCACCGCCATCCTCGACATCGACGGCATCACCTTCCTCACCGACCCCTTCTTCTCCCCCGCTGGCACCGAGTTCAACGGATCCGCAGCCATTCTCAAAGTCCATGAAGACCCAGCTCTGAAGTTAGACCAACTACCCCACATCGACGCCATCCTCCTAAGCCATGAGAACCACCCCGACAACCTCGATGACTTAGGACGCCGACTCGTCGATGGCCGCCACGTCGTCACCACCAACGATGGCGCGAAGAATCTCGCGCCCCGGCCGAGCGTCCTCGGGTTCAGTGACTGGCAAGAAAGGGATGTGCGCATCGCAGGAACAACATTCCACATCACTGCTACACCCTGCAAGCACTGGCCCGGACACGAATGCGTCGGCTTCGTCCTGCACACCGAAAGCTTCGGCGTCGCAGCAGACGGCCGTCCAAACGCAATCTACTTCTCCGGCGACACAGTCTACATTGAAGAGCTCGCGAAGATTGCGGAAAAGTACCACATCACTGTCGCTATCATGAACTGTGGCAAAGCGACCTTCTACGAGTTCACCGAAGAAGGTAAACCGGGGCAGCCAGGCGATGCCTTACAGATTACTATGGATGGTCGGCAGGCGGCTCATCTTCTTAAGGATCTGAAGGCTGATGTGCTGGTGCCTATGCATTATGAGTCGTGGGATCATTTTAAGCAGGGTGGTGATGGGCTTGCGCGGGAATTCGAGGAGGAGGGGGTTTTGGAGAGGGTGAGGTGGTTGAAGCCTGGTGAGGCTGTGGCGATTAATTGAGTTGCTGGCGGAGAGAGAAGGCTGTGATAGTGTGTTCGGAGATGGATTAGTAGTAGTTGAGCCTTGCATGGTTCGAGAGTGGTAGAATGTTGTAGTGATAATGAATACATTTGTACTGTATCTTGAAGTAGCCAAATCTTCTCTTGATCTCAACACCTCGCTTTCTTTCCAGCTCGAGAGAAGAGTGATTGACGATCCAAGCAACACGCACATGTGTCTCTGTAGGCGCACCACCGCACACACAACAGAATCCTCAACCCCAAATCCCGAGACATGTCGGCAGCAGCAACGCAACCCTACGAGAAATTTCTGCATTCTCACAATCTCTTCCGGTGGTCAGAACACCGTCTTCTGTGTATATGTAAATCCCAGTGGGTCGGCTTTTGACACCACATTCAGCCTAGCGCCACAATCATCTAGACCAGGAGTTGGCTCATCTTCGGGCAGAACCATCGTTTAATGCTGATTATCAATCCTTAAAGCTCGCCGATGAGTGAACAAATCTCTCATCTCGTACGTGCAAGTCCGTAATGGGAAAGTATATATAGTTTCGAGTGTCCTGACAATTGGTATCACGCACCCGCTAGAACAGCGCAAGATCGACACTCTCTACTTGGCAATTTTGAACTCAGAGTGAGAGATCATGTTTGGAAGAAAGACCACGGACGACCATGAGGGAAGCCTTTCTCCGGAAACACCAAATCATGGCGAGCCGAAACACGAAGATACCGAATCAGCCACCCTACCATCCTCAAGCACGAGTGTCGAAGAACAACCCGGACACGGAACAATTGCTCAAGAACCACCAGAAGGCGGTTTGATAGCATGGCTAGCAGTCCTGGCATTCTTCCTCGCAATAATGAACACATGGTACTTCCCCTCCCCTCCCCTACACCAACCCACTCCACCCTTGCTAACAACCACCCCCTTTACAGGGGCATGATAATCTCCTTCGGCGTCTTCCAAACCTACTACGTAACCACCCTCCACCAAACGCGCTCCACAATCGCCTGGATCGGCTCCCTCGCCGTCTTCCTCCTCTTCTTCACCGGCATCATCAGCGGGCGCCTCACAGACGCCGGGTTTTACCGCTCTGTCACCTGCACAGGCGCCTTCCTCGTCGTGTTAGGCACATTCATGACATCCCTCAGCGAGACGTACTGGCAAGTTCTGCTCGCACAGGGCGTGTGTACGGGCCTGGGAAACGGGTGTTTGCTTACGCCCATGTCGACGCTTGTTACGAGTTATTTTAAGAGGAGGTTGCCGCTTGTTACGGGGATTGCGGCGTGTGGGAGTGTGACGGGCGGGTTGGTGTATCCGTCTATGGTGAGGACGTTACTGCCCAGTGTGGGGTTTGGGTGGACGTTGAGGGCGATTGGGTTTATTCAGTTGGGGACTTTTGCGGTGGCGTTGGTGGTTGGGCGGCCGAGGAAGGTGGTGAGGAAGAAGGGGCCGCTGGTGGATGTGAGTGTGTTTGGGGAGGGGGCGTTTAATTTGCTGCTTGTGGGGTCTTTTTTGGTAAGTTGTGTTTGGTCTGCCAGTTCCAGATGGTATGGACCCGTTTACTGACAGATCTGCAGGCTTTCCTAGGAGTATTCTTCCCGTTCTTTTTCCTCAGCTCGTACGCGCGTGAGAAGCGGGGGATGTCATACACCGAATCGCTCAACCTCACCCTTGTCTTGAACGGCATCGGCTTCGCAGGTCGACTGTTACCCAGCCTGATCGCCCGATACTGCGGCACGATGAACGTCTACATCACATTCATCTTCTGCTCTGCACTCTGCATGTATACCTGGGTCCCGGTACACTCGACTCCCGGGCTCTACGTGTGGACAACTTTCTACAGTCTGTCTGTAGGTGGAGTTCAGTCACTCTCTCTGGCCATCGTCCCTATCATTATCTCGGATACGTCGAAAATGGGTGCTTCGTTTGGCATTGTGTTCGCGGCTATTGGGATTGGCGCGTTGATAGGCTCGCCTGTCTGTGGTGCTATCATCACGTCGAGTGAAGGCTCGTATACTGGTGCGCAAGCCTTCTCGGGGAGTGTGTTGGTTGCTGGCGGGCTGATCATACTAGCTGCACGCGAAGCGAAGAGGCGGCAGAAACAGGAAGACGTCTGGGTGAAGATGTGAGGGCCGCACATGGGAAATCTGTCAGTTCCTTTATTCTTTTGGTGTTTTGTTATTGTAATTTAGCCTTCATGCGCATTACCAGTTACATGGATGCATTCCTTCCAACCGTGCCACTGCTATGGCCATTCTTCGACGCATCGCTGAGACTAGGGCCTGGAGTGTTTCACTTGTAGTGGTACATTGTTGCGACTGAACCATGCCAATGGCGAGTGTCGTGAGATGGTGCCGTCGAGACGCACGGTCTGTGTTCGATGAAGATAGATGGAGACCCTGAGTTCCACGTGCGGTAGATCCTGTGATAGCGCGTTGTTGTTTACGCGTGGCCCACGTGTCAGACGTCCCGCTTTTACCCTTTGCCCTAGCAACATCAACTGTGCCGGCCGCCTAATTTGGCAACAACACGAGGGGCACTTCCATCGCGACAAGTGAGACACCTCGCGATAAGACTATCGGAGTGACAAGACGACATCAGTCCATGCATAGTAGTCAGCGGAGACACCGTGCGCCGTTCCG